ATGGGAATTCATGTTAATTATTAACATTGAGACCGGCTATTTTTTTCCTACAGGCGGGAGAAGGGGGAGTACACACCCCTACAATTTACGCGTCTGAGCGGGCGGGTTGAGGGGGGATTTTCTATAGGATGAAATTCAATAGTTAGTGAAGTTGGGATATCGGATGCGTTTTTGATTTATGTTCATGGCATCCATTCAGGGGCGGATCCCGGACTTTTTGCAGGAGGGGTTTGCCTGGTTTCTTTTAAGGAAATTTGACAGATGACAATGCATGATGCCATCATCGTCTCCAAATTACGTAGGCATACACATACAATGAGCTTTTTATTGAGAAAAATCCAACACCCCGTTTCACGTCAATTTTAATGATGAATTAATAGGATCACATTGTGATTCAATTTCATTAATGCAACGCATTAAAGGGCCAATCTCGATTATATTTTGGAGAATAAAACTGCTTAACTTTGCGTTATTAAGTCAATCTTCTATATAGGAATAAGAGCTTATGAAACCATATACACAAAATATATAACAACTAATTATCGCCAATAAACCATATTGGGAAACCACTGATAATAGTAAAGTTACAGGTCAAAGGGAAACTTATAATAACATACAAAATAAATTACATCTGGTTAGCCACAAATGGTTAGGGGAGATTTTATCACACCACTAATCTAGTAACAGATCAGAAGGAAACTTATAAAAACATATTGAAAGTAATCATATAATAGCACACAATTATAAGGGGAACCACATATTAATTATTTCGTAGATGAGAAAACAAAAGATAGGAAACACTTATTATATTCACTTATTATACTTCACTTCACTATAATACATTAATATGTAACCACATAGACACAGAGGGTAAACTCAGGTACTATTGTGATTCAGAGTTTATACTGCAGTTATTATAATTAGTATAATTCAATTTCCTGCGATTAATGCATCATAGGCACGTGGTAGATAGATGCCTTCGTCTCTATTTAAAGGAGCTAAGTCTCTAACTCAATATCATCCAAAATCTTCAACATTGAAAACACGATTTATTTGTCAAATTAAATCAACATTCATGTTGTGATCTTATCGGAAAAAGATGGGCTTTTGATATCCAATATTTAAGACAAAATAAACATTTTACCATTGGTACACGAATCGTGTACCATAATGCGCTTCAGCCCCAGTTGTATCAAGAGACTTGAGGGACGAGTCTAAACACATTGCACCAACTCAAACGGTGAATGTAGACTGGAATAACCAGACGCTAGAAATTTGCACTCGCTTGAGACTGCTGGCTTATTTCGCCGAACATAACGGATTTGAAATTGGAGTAAAAACGGAAACCATTGAATGTAAATCAGTTTATATACATTCATATTACAGTATTATATGCGTTGCGACCCACTTTTGTCAATTTCTAGGTCCCAAATGTTAGCGATTTAGCTCCTTTAATGTTGGTTTGTGGCGTTTTATATTGATGGCTTCCAAAATCTTCCTTTTCTTTGTGTGGTTTTGGTGGATTGCTAATTTCTTTGTCTTTTCCCATAGTATCTTGTGTTTTGGATTTTGATGGATGTGGTCTGCTACAGCTGAGGTCTGGTTATATGGTTTTGGTAGTGTTGGTTAAGTCTAACATCTAATGGTTGCCTACTTTCTCCAATGTAGCTGATTTTACATGAGCAGAAGACTTGGTAAACGCAGCCTTTGGTGACGTTGGTTTGGTTGACTTGCATTTACCATTAGCTTGGAGGATGTCTTTTATGGTGTTAGTGCCTGAGAAGGTTACCTGGATACCAGCTTGTTGCAACAATCTTCATATTTGGTATGATATTTTGCTGTTAAAGGGGATAGTGATTCTGATAGGTGGCTTATCTTGTGCTTTGGATTCGGTGTTGTCAGATAGTGCTTTCTTTATTACATCTTCTACTAATTTGAGTGGGTAGTCATTAAAGGTGGTAAAAACTTCTCTGAGGTAGGTCATCTCTGCATCTAGTTTCTCAGGTGTTGAAATTCTTTTTGCTCGTTTTACTAAGGATGATAAAGTTGCTCTTTTGATACTGATTGGTTGGTTGGATTTAAAATGTACGTACTGGTCTGTGTGCGTTGGTTTTCTATATACACTGGTTTTTAGGGTGCCGTTTTCTCTCTCTACTTTTACATCAAGGACTGGAAGGGTGTCATTATTTTCAGTTTCTGATGTAAATTTGATACGGTCGTTCTGTTGGTTAAGATGTTCTAGTAAGGTTGTATGTTCTTCTATGCTGTTTAAGATGACAAACGTGTCATCCACTCTGCGAAAATAGGCTATAGGTTTAACGGGTGATATTGCCAGGGCTTTCTCTTCAAACGCGGTCATGAAAATTTCAGTTAGTAGAGGTGATAACGGGCTCCCCAGGTGAAGTAGGTTGCTTGAATACATGTTCTGGTGAGGTCTATTAGGTCGTTATTGGTAAGTGTGCTGTCCAGCGGTTCAGACAGGTTGTCTAATCTTATCTTAAGTTCTTCTAAGGCTAAATCATGGGGAATATTTGTGAACAAATCTATAACATCGTACGATATCATTACTTCTGCATTGTCTTGGCGATATAGTTCCTGACAAAATTCGGCGGAGTCTTTGATGAATGAGGCTGCTGACTTCCCTAAAGGCGTGAGTGGTTTAGAGAGAAACTGTGCTGTATTATAAAATACAGAATCTTGCGAACAAATCAATAGTCTAGCTTTAATTGGGTTTGTATGAATTTTGATAGTAGCTCTGGCGTACGGTGCTGTTGGGTGGGTTGTTTTTAGTTGATGGAAGAGCTTGTCAGTTATGTGATTCTTATCTAAAAGTGATTTTAGTTGGTTGGTGAGTTTAGTTTTGTAAATTGCAGTTGGATCTTTCCTCAGCTTCTTGTACGTAGTGGTATCATCAAGTAGTTGTGTCACAGTTTCGTGGTATTCACGCTTATCCATGATTACGGTGGCTTTGCCTTTATCAGCTGGCACTAACATGATCCCTTGGTCATTTTTTAGTTGATGTAAAGCTTCTCTTTCATTTTTGGTTAGGTTATCAAATTTGGTTGTAGGCCTTGAGATGATGCTTGCTATTTGATGACGTAAGTAATCCACTTTACCACCGGGAGCTAGTTGTCGTAATCCACACTATATATATTAGAGATGTATTGGTCACTGTTGATTTTTAGTTTCGTTGGGATGAATTTAAGCCCTCGGGAGAGAAGTGTTATTTGGTCATCCGTGAGTTCTCGGCTACTTAAGTTTATGACTGTTTTGGTGAGATATTTGTCTTGTTGGTGTTTGGTTAAGTTGGCTTATTGATTTGTTTTGGTCATTTTATTTCATGTCAAAACACAACTCATCTGCATGATCTTCATTTGAATTGTTCAGATTAATTATTAATTATTCCGGCTTGGATTCAATCAGATAATATAAAGAGATTTATAACCGAACACTTAAGCCTATAGGTGGTGCCGACTGGTTTAATGTTGCAGGATATCAATTGTTGCAAAATTTTCAATTCATATCATGTCTTTGGACTGATATTCTTTTTAGACATTCAACTTTCATAATATTGTATTTTGCGAATAGTAAGACCAGAAGAGCCCGACCCCCCCCCCCCCCCCCACCCAAAAAAAAACAAAAAAAAAAAAAAAACAAAACATTTTTCATAACTAACGATCACTAATAATCGGTCGATTTAGTCATTCATCATGCCCCCCATGGCCATTCCGAAAATCTGTTGTTACATTTATTCGAGAGACCTTTTCCATGTAATTCAGAATCGGCGATACGTATTCCCATCTTAACATATTATTATATAGTTCCAGGTTGTATATGTTGTATTCAAAATATTGTATTATGTGCTGTACGCGTGCAAACGAAAATGTCGCCCATTGCTGTCGTTAACAGGTCGTAATTTGTTTATGTTATTCAGTCCTACGCATTTTAAGAGTATTGGTTGGAACACGTGACAATAATTATATCCGCTTCATTACTCTTGCGATTAGGAATTTCGCACTCTCCACACAAGACTTCGTCTCGCTGATTGTTTTGACTGCAAGGGAAGACAACTCGATCTGTTTGGAGGCAGACCACCATTAATTTCCCCACTGACTTCAATGTTAATTCTGACCTCTTTGCCCACCTCCAACTTTTTCCCAAATTTTCGTTGGCCTGAATGCTTTTCACTACAGACACAGGAACAAATGGTCATGTCTTTGCACTAAAATTTGTATGGGGTTGACCACCAAAATTTTGAGATACACAAACTTGAAGAAGCATACTAAAAAATGTAACTAGTTGTCGTACATATCGCCGTAGCCAACCTGATAACCCTGTTATCCTTCCGCCTCAAAATCATGAATATTTACCAAAACCTGGCAGAAAATGTTAATTCAAACCCTCTTCGTCCATTCTAGACCAAAAAATCAACAAAAATGGGCATGCAAAAGGGGAGAAAAGAGAGAGAGAGAGAATTGCTACAAATAACTACAATTTGAAATTTAATGGTGGTCTGCCTCCGTTTGGGAGATTGGGAATTTCGTAGCTTGGCTACATGTTGGAACTTTTACCATTGGTTTTAAACATCGTAAGAAGGTAAATTTTGAAAATAAAAAATAATTATTTTTTTTTTATGTCGCCTTTATCTTTATGTCTTTTATTTGATTTTGATAATTTCATATCCCATTTTAATTTTTTGACAATGATAATTTAATTAGTAATTAAGTTGCGCATCGGCGATATTTGTTGAGCAAATAGTATACATTGCGTTGAATGTCTCCGTTAGCCTGTCAACAGTAGTCAAGATGGATTTATTCGATATCGTCGGAGAAATGTGTCAGTGTGTCTCTCGTTCTGGAATGTCACAGCAACGAAGTTCAATAAATGGGTCACCTTAACCGGACCATTAAGGTGAGGGTTGTTTACATTCTTTCATCGAATCAGATTGCTTCTTTGGGACGCACCTTTTCCAGACGATCGTTGATTGGCCGTATTTGTGGACTGTGTGTACTGAATGACATACACATGTTGAAATGCCAATCAGTTGCGAACAGAAATTGAGGAACACGGGTGAAATTAGTTAATTTCCAGTGAAAATAAATTATATTTCAAACCAAGGTATGTTAATTTATTAAATTAATGTATTGATATTAAACTGGTACCGTCATATTCGACTGTCATTCTGTCTATTGTTTACGTCATTTTCTTGTGAGTTTCATCATCATCCCAGTTTTGGCCCTGCTCGGCTTTTCGTTATGGTTCCTGGTATACCATAATGTGATAGTATAGATCAAACCTAGTACACCAACTAGACAAGATAACAAAGAATGAATCATTGATAACTTTTGTAGGCTCTACTCTACGTAGGCTACAATAATTTGTATTATCAATCCATGCCAAGAAATAACCTGGCCTACACATAATTTGGCAAAATAATCTTCTGACATATTAAAATTTTCTCTTGGTTGCCTATAATTGCTTAAATAATTAGGGGAAGGGGTAATAATATGGGACGAAATACCATATGGGACATATGTTTTTGTTGTGGAATATTTCACTAGGAATAATATGTGATATTGAAACAAATCAACTTTCTAGTTAAAGCTACCTAAACTATCTTTCAATTTATAAAATATAAAGACAATGTTACCCCACTTGGATGGGGTAATATGGGCTTCGACATCATTTTACAGATTTCTGACACTGCTTTTAGAACAAAATAAAAAATTTGGAGTGCAGTTTCGGTTAAAAGATAAGTTTGTTGTTTAGTTTATTGAATCATTATACATGTACCTATGAAATATTCCACAGCCAAAAATTATATCACCCCAATTTGCATGTCCCATATTACCCTCATGCCCATATTACACCCCCCCCCCCTTCACCTATCTCTTTGTTGGCAGTTTTACTGGGGTAATTGTAGACCTAATTATTGAAATATTTAAAGTTGCAATTTCATATTTTTATGTCCTATTTTTAAAATTTATTAAAATAAAGCCTTAAAATAGATGGTATCTATAAACAGTCCTACCTTGTTAAAGAATAATCCTATTAATCCTATAATTCACTATTACCAGTTGAGAAATTGGCAAAAATTTCATTTTCCTCTTCAAATTCAAACATTTGAAAATAGCTACTCCGTGGTGGAGAATAGAAAACAAGGGAGGTAATTGGGGGTAATTGTGTTATTATTTCCGGTGTAAATGAGTTTTAAGTGTGAGAATGACATCTATGATCGTATAATAGTGAGTTGACAACTTGTTGAGCAAAAGACATAGAACTAATTATGTTTTCACTTTCTTAGAAAATATGAAATTGTAACTTTAAATAGAGATACGACTCTGTTGGATTCTATGGTGAATCAGTCATTGTAGTGGAAATTTTAACAGCATCATATTCCAGAACTGAGTCTTATGGTCCAGAGTACGACAGCAGCCCCAGTCGTACAGCGCATTTGTGATAAAGCAGAATTGACCACTTTAAAGTTAATAGAATAATTAAATTGTCAGGTGTTTGTTTAAAATACAACCAATTAAAGGAGCTAAATCGCTATTATTTGGGACCTAGAAATTGTCACAAATAGGTCACAATGCATATAATTGTAATATGAATGTATATAAACTGATTTACATTCAATCATTTCTGTTTTTACTGTAATTTATAATCAGTTATTTTCAGCGAAATATGCCAGAAGTCTCAATCGAATGGCAATCTTTAGCATCTGGTTATTCCAGTCTACACTGAGAGTATTTATTGCGCATGCTCTCCAGATAAGAATATGACATGACTTGTGGAATATATGTAAGCCTTGTTCTTCGAGTCCCTTGTTAAAAATGGCGCTGAAACACATTATGATCACAGCACCAATGTTGATTTACATTAACAAATAATTTGTGTTTTCAATGTCAAAGACTTTGTATGATATTGAGTTAGAGACTAGCTACTTTAAATGGTACTGTTTTCTTTGTGGACAAGATCATGCTTGACTTGACATAATTATAAGTGTACTAGATTCCATATTAGGAAGTGTTTGTTGTCACAACACAAAAGTTTTAATTGCTCAGAGTATAATTTTTCAGTTATGAAAATCTATAGGTAGAGGCAATAATGTAAAGTGTTCCTAGAATTTGATCACAATTGATTCTTTTATGCTATAAATAGCATAACTGTATCACCAGGAAGAATTAAAAAAAGACAAGAGCCTTTCTTTATGAACCAGCTTACATGTAGGCCTAAACATATTACAGATACATTAGTTAAGAGTTTTATAAAGAGTCTGCCATTCTTGCTATAATAACTCAAAAATAGATGATAAAAAAAGAAAATGTCAGTCAAATTACTTTGTTCTGAACGGAATTGTCACTGTTAAAAGTTTGGACTAGAAATAGCCATCAATTGTGTCTTTACCGTCTATGAGAATTGGCGATCGTTTGATTGACAAACCATAACTCCACACACATATTCTCAATTATCAAGTAGCATGCTCAATAGCTATGATAGCCTTTCTTGGCAGGCTTTTTTATCACCAGTTTTCGCTTGTGACATCAGCGAGTAACGGTAAACGTTAGCTTGGTCCGCCATTTATTGATTTAATTTTAAATGGACGAGGCTGTTTAAATCCAAACTGTATCCAAGCCATCTGTGGGTCTACAGAGTTGATTTTAAGCTTGTCGTGTAAATAAAGATCTAATTAATAATTTCTGTAACATCTGAAGCCTAAATAAAGACTTGCAATAGGCAGATTTAGCTCTTGCATAATGTATGTTTAAGTAGGTACTGAAAGGTAAGTTAAGTGTTTTAATACTGTGCCCAACAAAAACCCAGACAATCCAAACTTTCAAAGTCCTTCACAACTACATATACATGTAAAAACTGCCTTTAAAGTGACAGAAGTTACATTTGCCTGCCTGCTATACCTATAGCATGTTTAGTATTACATGTACTATCCTGAGTTGGGATTTCAGTAGATGTAGGTACATGTAGATCCATTGATGTTATATGAAACATGACCGTCACCGCTCGCTGCTGCAAGAGAGGATGTCAAGAAACCTTTTTGATATTAAACATTACTTTTTCATTAATTTTGTAGCATTGATTTTTTTTTAAAAATGATAATAGTTTTATTTTGATTTACATTAGATGTAAGACATGTACAATTCTAAGTGTAATATGTATTTTTGTTATTTTCTTACAATGAGCATACAGTTTTCTAGCCTTATAATTATATTGCGAATTTAGTTACCAGTGTACAAACTACATAATAGGGTCAGTTATTAATGACAGCTGCTATCGATTCACTAAAGTTATACACTCTATTAGTTGATCAATTGTTACAATAATTTCTCATTGACTGATCACATACAATTTATTTCCAGTTATGAACTGAGGAATATGGATAGGACAATAGCCAGCCACCTTTTCCAAAAAGGTTGATAGACCTTATTTAACCCTCAGTTCTTTTTTGTTTAATAATAATAGCCTTTAAACCTACATAACATAATAGACTTATTTTTATCAGACCAGGTCACCTTGGGTTTGAATGTTAGATTTAAATCCTTGCAATTCATTAAATATCTTGGCAACAGATCAACAGATAATTAACTGTCAGAAATTAAGACAAGATTAAACTAATTAACTTTAATTATTGATTTGAGAAAGTAGCCAAGTGTTTTGATTTCATTCAGTTAAATGAACAAGGTTGATAGAATTTTGTTTCAAAATTTTGACCAACTTCATAGAATTGTATCATTATATTGCTGTAACCTGGGCATCAAATTGTTTTGACTGAGTAAGTTTGAATATGAACATATTTTCTTCTTAGACTAAATGGAGATAAGCGATTTTATTTATTGATAATAAGAAAATAAATGTGCAAGTAATTAAGGTGTATCACATATTTATTATGGAAGTAAGGCTGGGGACTTCAATAGTTAACTCTCTAGTGGCATACCGATCTCCCAAACAGAGTTGTCTTCCCTTAGCAAGACTTCTGTGGAGAATGGTGTAAGTTATCATACATGTATGATCTACCTGATATCTATATTTACGATTCTGATTAATTCTATAGTTGTGGTCCTTGCTCACTTTAATGAATCTTGTGAATGCTGTAAGTGATTTACATTAAATATGTATTTTTTGTTTCGATTAAAGTGTGTTAAATTACAAAATTTCTGATTATGACTTCTTCTCTTGGAATCTTGAATCCTACAATAATGGTTTACGCAATTACAGACATTATGGAGCGCATGGATGGATTTAAATGTAGCTACTACTGTAGAATATATAATATATCTTAAACCAATTTGACAAAAAATATATTATAATTTAGGATAAATGTCTTTGCAGAAATTGGGTTGGGAGATGTGTGGGACTCAATTTTTAACATAATCTTGCAATGTCAACTAGTATGCTTTGTCATTTCTAGTTAAACCAAGAAATGCGATTACATCTACTTCCTTGTTTGAATATATTTTTTGTATTTTTTTTTTTTATCTTACATTAATCAAAAATGTATTGTATAATTTCAGACCATCTCCCTGTAAGAACTCTAACCTAATCATGTTGGTGAAAGGTTTAGGTAAAAGGTTGTTGTCGGCAGCCACTAATCATAGTGCAAAAAATTTGAATGGATTTTGTGCTGTGATTCAAACACGTAATGTTCATGCTATCGACACAGATTTCATCCATGAACATTCTAATAAACCTAGAATTCTTATCACAGGTAAGTCTATTTTTATTTTACTTTTTATTTGTAGAAGTTTGGGATAATTCAGATTAAAATGTGTGCAAAAGTAGTAAAACTAACAGGATCGAGTATTAGTGATTTTTTAAGCCCTAATTTACTATGTACATGTATATTGTTGTCAACTACAATATACATCAGCCGTCTGTCATCCACAACTGAATGAGAATACTTTGCACAGGTCAGAGTTGTCTTTATTCAATTCTGCAGGCGTTGTCCATTGGGTCATAAGGAAGAAGAACCCTAATGTAATTCCGATTTTTTATTTATAAAAAATCACAGCGTTAACTCAAACTTATGGGCTATTTTCACAAAAACATACAAATAACAGAAAAACAGTTTACTTACCCAGTATATGATATAAAAATTTTGCAACCTTTGGAAAAACTTATATATTGTACATCAGCATGGAAGTCCCTTCTTTGGGAAAATATTTTGACAAGGTTATTATTCAAAATAAAATTAGTATATCAAATTATTTGGTAAAAATCTCCATTCCATTAGGTGGTGAAAGATCAGTACAAATTACAGTGCTTATCAATTAGCCATTCAATAGAGCTGAATAAAATGTCCTATTAAAGGAGCTAAATCGCTAACATTTGGGACCTAGCAATTGACAAAAGTGGGTCGCAACGCATATAATACTGTAATATAAATGTTTATAAACTGATTTACAATCAATGGTTTCCGTTTTTACTCCAATTTCAAATCAGTTATGTTCGGCGAAATAAGCCAGCAGTTTCAAGCGAGTGCAAATTTCTAGCGTCCGGTTATTCCATTCTACATACGCCGTTTGATTTGGTGCAATGTGTTTAGCCTCGTCCCTCGAGTCTCTTGATACAACTGGGGCTGAAGCGCATTATGGTACACGATTCGTGTACCAATGGTAAAATGTTTATTTTGTCTTAAATATTGGATATAAAAAGCCCATCTTTTTCCGGTAAGATCACAACATGAATGTTGATTTAATTTGACAAATAAATCGTGTTTTCAATGTTGAAGATTTTGGATGATATTGAGTAAGAGACTTAGCTACTTTAACTATAAGAAATAGAAATCTGCTATATCAAATATTGTTTCTGTCAAAATTTTAGAACAATTTGTCTTTTCTGTTGATGCTTTGTTAAGGAGTTAACCATATCATAATATGTCCCATTATCAAGTATGTCACTAGGTGTCACTATTAATCTAAGACAGGGTTATGGTCAAGCAGGAAAATCCCACATCATAGAAAAAACAGTTTATAGGAAGGAAAATCCAAACAATTAAGTTGACCGCACATGGTTGTCGGCCTGTCGCATAAATTGTATGTCTCTTCTGTTGGTCTGTTCGGATACATAAAACACTGACTTTTGTTATATTTTTGTTACTTTTAAGAGTCCTGCATGAGTATTGCATATACTTCCTCTTTGAGTTATAAACCTAAAGAATTCAGTGAAAATTTCCTTAAAAATTCATATTTACTTTTCAAAATTTGTCTTTTCCATTATTTGTACGTTTTTGTGAAAATAGCCCTTATACAGAACAGTGTGGGATCTTTGATTAGTTTAGAATGATCTCAAATTTCAAAATTTTGTGGATCGAAAATATTTTGAATGATTTATCTTTCCATTCATATTTTTACTTTCAAAGCAATGTGAACATGATACAGGATCAAGTCCTTTGCAGAACTTGGCGTGATTATTGAATTGGTTTTAAGGAGAAGAGCTTAAATAATTTATAGAATATAATTGTAAAACTTATAGAATTTATAATTATAAAAATTTAATTGGCGTGCATGTAAAAGATCCCTTGACAGTTTGAATTCGATATAAGAGTAGGCCGTAGTGCTGGTGTCAGGGCAAAATTTCCCTCATAGCACACTGTATGGCGTATGCCCGTCTTCATTAAACCAGTTAGTAGCAAAACAGTAGGACGTTAAACCCCATTTCATTTCATTTATAAAAATTTATAGGATTGTAAATTTTGAAGTTATCTCCCCTTGAAGAGATTGATAAAATCTTTTGAATGCAAATATGGGATGGAGTTCTTTATGAGATTGTTTATTAGGGTGTAATTGTAGCCTAATGTGTTTTAAATTTCAAATGCATTTTGCAGTGTTACTACATGTAGGTATTGTGTGACTTTTGTAGGACAATATTGGTGTCAGTCATTATCACATATGTGATAGAGCTGGTTAAACACATTCCAAATATAATTTTAACACAGAGAGCATTGCTACGATAGCTGAGTAATACAGGCTTCCTTAGTCGGAAGTGACCAACGCCAAAGGAAAACACGAGTCATACCTCTATATAACTGACTGATGTGACGAGTGATAACGGATATACAGGCGAATTTCTGCTCACTAATAATTTATTCGAAGACCAAAAGTTGTTGCATGAGATTGTGAGAGGATATCTGACAATTCATAAAAAGAATTGACTGCCACTAGATAAGTGAACACGAAAGAAAAACAGAAAAAGTCAGTGCATTACCATGTTTTTATAAGATATAGAATGAATATAAACAAGGGAATGTACGGACTATTTCTATTTTTCTCGTGTTCTCTTATCTAATGACATTCAGTTACTTTATTGAATTGTCAGGTATCCTCTTACAGTCCCATATATCAATATTGTCCTTTAAAGCCTGTGAAGGTGATACAGGACATAGTTTTAAGTGTAATTCACAGTTATCGCCTTTTAAACATACATGTACATTATGCCACACTAATCAGCAGTGAATATTCGCTAGGCCGCGACAATAACTGATAAGGATGACATCGATGCGACTTAATGCGCCACAAATATTAACTTTTTTCCTCCGAAATAAAGACGTTTGACCTATTCGTAGGTAAAAATTATTTCCTATTTAGTGTAAATGGATATTAAAATGAGTAAAAGGCTACATTCCGCCCGAACCACTAAGGTCTAATGTAAACAGTGCACGCGCCATTAAGCCAATGATCGACGCCGCGTGATGAAAAGTCACATGTTAAAGGTACATGTAATCATCTTTTACAGAGATATTAGAAGACTTTCGTAATCCTCTGTGAAACAGATTGACATTATGCATGGGGTAAATCTGCCTATTGCAGGTCTTTCTTTAGGCCTGAAATGTTATTTAAATTATTAATTAGACATTAATTAACTTATCAAGACCATAATCAACTCGTGATGCCATTATTAGTCTGCGATATTTAGCGGATTGAAATACATTTTTTGAAAAATAATTAAACTTTCAAATGGCTAATATCTCTGTTCAGAGTGGAGCAATTTGACTGAAATTTTCAGTATATTCTATTTATGTTATCTATTTTTTAACTATTATAGCAAGAACTGTCAACTCTTTATCTGAACTCCCATAATGCTCCCATAAGTTATCTACCTATTTTGAAATAGGTTGTGAATATGATAAAGAATTCTTTAAAACTTAATTGGATTTTTTAAGACTTGCTTTCAGAATTTGTTGACATCAATTGTAGAGCTGCTGGGCACCAATTATCGAGTCAGATGAGCCCTAATCTTATGTTTTATAAACGTATTGTAAAATTGTTCTTTATATTCAGGGGCCCTTGGACAGCTTGGATCAGGATTAGCTAAGATGTTAAGGTATGAACATTTTTATTTATGGCTCTTTATAGATATTGCCTTTGGTAGCTATTGCATGCAAACGAGTAAAAAAAATAAAATTGTGAAATAAATGTCTTTAAAAAAATTCTATTTTAATGATTTTGTTTATTTGAGATTATAATAAATGGATTATAATTGTAGGGACAAATATGGTCGTGATAATGTCATTATGTCAGATATATCTAAAGCATCAAAATCAGTTCTTGAAAGTGGTAAGAAAATTAACATTTGTAAGACATTTCTAATTGATAGTATACACCTTTTAAATTACCAAATTCTAACAATGGTTTGGTTCTGTTGTTAATTGATCTATTAAATCAAATCATTATTATTAAGTGTATTAAATATTCAAGATTAGAGAAAGATTTTTAAAATGTTGTTCTATGTCACAGGACCATTTCTATATGCTGATATTATGGATCCAAGAGGTTTAAAAGAAATAGTTGTCAACTATGAAATAGACTGGTTGATACATTTTGGGGCACTGTTGAGTGCTGTTGGGGAAGCCAATGTACCATTAGCTATGAAGATTAATATTGAAGGTGTACACAATGTACTAGAAGTAGCAAGACAATATAATCTGAAATGTATGATCCCAAGTACTATTGGTTAGTATAATTGACCAATATTGGTCATTCATAAATAATTTAGTTGTGTTTCTAGTATAAAATCATAATCGCCATGACAAGCATGCTTTATCTGACTAGAAGTGATATCCTACTATTGAACAGGGCTAGTCGACACTTTAATGATCAATTCTCATTTCCTTAGAAACTATACAAGGATGTACAACATTGGAAAAGTTTCTGTCTTTGAAGGGCATTTAGTGAAAGCAATATAACAGATAGCTTCATGGATGACATTCACTAGTTTTATTAACTGCAACATTCCATTGTGAAAGTTGAATCTTTAAAAATAATATCAATCCAAAAATGGTACGGAAAAGATATGAATTGAAAATTTTTCTAAAATCGGCATTCCTCTGTGGAATATATAAACAAGATACATGTAGCACTACCCCTTAGCATTAGGTAAACCTAATATCTTTTGATAGGCTTCTTTTTAATCTAATTGAGTCCAAGCCCTACCATTGGGTTTTATTGTCTTTGGTAAATATTAAACAATCCGTTTGAGTACATTTAAACATGGATTAAGATATGAAAAATTAAATATTGTCATCAAATGCAAATGTTGATCAGCATCTTTAGTATGCCAAAAGAATTATCTTTAAAATTGATATGATTGATGAATATTGAGACTGTCCAAATATTAAAAAGAAACACATTTTATAAGGTCAATGAGTTAATTTATCTAAAAGAAAAAAAAAGAAAAATTTTAACCTCTGGGAAAATATGTCCGATAGTAAATAATCAAAAAAAAATTCAACCAAACACCTAGTTAACAGATAATTCTGAAATAGTATAACTGATGGACCTTTACTTAATTTCGAGTAGTATTTGCCACAGGTTAGGAGTAAGTCATATCACTTCTTCCAAATAAATGAAGTACAATTTATTTTTATTGTACTGGACCCCATGTATAGGATATTGCCTAAAGTAAGTATACAATTTATTTTATAGACTGTGCCCAGAAAGTTGGTCGATGTTTTGATTTTAGAAATGTCGAGCAGTTATTTATTTATGAAGAGCCAATAGTGCGTGACATAAAACTAGACTAAAGTTTACCTAATTTAAAGAATGTATGTCAGGGACATTATGTCAATAATATTAAGAGCAGGGCAACAGCTACGCATATAAATGTTTTTTTGAGTTTTAGGGAGTGGTGGGTTATTACGTTTTACTGGTATCTTTGTTGTACATGTAAACTTATTATACGGTTTATTTCTGTCGTATAAAAACTGCTGACGTTTACATGTACCCAACTTAAAGAATGTCAATAATAGTAAGTGCAGGGCAACTGCTACACATATAAAAAATTTTCTGAGCTCTACGGAGTGGTGGGTTATTACGTCTTATTTGTACTGGTATCGTTATTGTATAAAACCAACTATAAGGTTTATTTCTGTCGTATGAAAACAAACTTGAGCATACTAATAAAGATTGTTTGATAAATAATTGGTAACTTTACTGTACTCGCGCCCACCTTAAATGTCCATCATATGTAAACATGTTTTCATTGAAACCAGAAGTTGTTTTTATTTTTGTGTGTGTTGGAGGTAGGGGGGATTAAAAACAAATTACCTATGTAAATTTTTGACCACCTTCTTTCTAGGTGCCTTTGGTCCCGATTCCCCCAGGAACCCAACCCCAGATCTGACTATACAGAGACCTAGAACTATTTATGGTGTGTCTAAAGTACATGCTGAACTTATGGGAGAGGTGAGTAAACAAGTTATTGACTGTAACAGAATAGTGAATTTGCTAGGCACTCAACAATTTAAAAGATTTATTATTGTTTTTAATCATTCAGATTTTTAGCCAGAGTTCTGTAGATATATTCTAAATAATGATGTTGTTACTTAAAGATGGATTATGTAAGAGCTAAATCTGCCCATTGCAGATCTTTCTTTTAGCCTCAAATGTAATATAAATTGTTAATTAGACATTTATTTACATGACAAGCCTATAATCGACCCTCTAGTCCATTTGATGGTTGTGATTTAGAACGGATTGAATTGAGATCGCCATTTAATAATGTATAATTCGAGACTTTTTATCATTCAATCGGTAGAAGGTAGCAATAAAAATTCTTAACAGTCATAACTTCGCTCTTTATCTAAATCTTATATAATGCATCTTTAAAATGAACAAATTTTTAAAGGTAGGGTAATAACATTGTATCCGTCATCTTATATCACTATTATTTTTGTGTTTTAGTACTATCATTATAAATATGGTCTGGACTTCCGTAGTCTACGTTATCCAGGTGTTATTTCAGCTGATACAAAACCAGGAGGAGGAACAACAGGTTAGATTATTTTTAAATAAATAGATATTTCTATCGTGAACTTTGCAGAAGTCTGATAGGTGGATGAGATCATCAAGACAGATATAGCAGTGGTGCAAAATAGGCACACAAATGACCCAATTGTTCAATATTTAATAGATAGAAAATTGTAATGCTATAGCTCTGCATAGATTAAAGAAAAAACATTAGAAATACAGCATTAATTCTAGATCACAATTTTTATCCGATATTGATGATGCTTAAAAATATATATTTTTATCCCAAAGATCTCAGTTCCTTTTGATATTAATGCGTGTCTGACCGTAACATCCTGGATCATGGCCCCTGATTATACGAAAAATTACTTTTTATCTTGTTCTGTGTCCATCTTTTGCAAAATGTGGGCGTATCTAACATGACAAACGCTTGTTAGTATTTTCTGTCTTTTTTTTGTAAGCATTTTGTTCTACGCTACATGTATTTAATTGTAGATGCAACTAATGTTATTTAGCTTCAGTTAAAATAATAATTGTTCATACTTTTACAGATTATGCTGTAGAGATATTTCATGAAGCATTGAGAACAGGCAATTTTGAGTGTTTTTTGCGTCCAGACACACGTTTACCTATGATGTACATCAAGGATACTTTACGATCAACAGTGAAATTTCTAAGTTTCCCAAATGATAAATTAACAATGAGAACTTATAATGTGACTGCCATGAGTTTTACACCAGAGGAACTGGCAGAAGAAGTTAAAAAATATGTGCCACATTTAAAGGTTACATATCGTCCTGATAAAACTAAACAATCTATAGGTAAATACTGTTGATCAATGATTATTTAAGGCAGAAAAAGTAGAGTGAGATTGTCCTTGTTTGATAGTAATATGGGGGGAAAAGTCACTTTAACATTAACTGTACAATATACCCATAGAAAAGATGTTAGTTTAAAAATAACTCAAAAAAGAAATTATAATCCATGCATTATATTTGATTATTATAAATTGAACAGATAATAATTTACTTTTGTAAAGGGAGATAACTGTTATAACTATTACACATCATCAGGATGCAAACCACCAAATATTCTCTGATTGACTTTAATGTTAATTGGAGTCTTTCTTGTTGGGCGTAACGTTCTCCACCACAGATGGAGCAACATCTGACCTTGTCTTACTCCACCGCATGTATGATGTTGACCATTGAAGGAACTACATTCCTAAGAGTAGTGATTGGTGGTCTGCCTCCAATATCCCATGCCTTTTAAGAATACCAAGAGAAAACCAAAGAGTAAATTATACAAAACTTTTTTATTCTTATGAAATTGTATTTTTATTTCTTTTATTTTTATATTTTAGCCGATCAGTGGCCTCAAGTTTTTGATGACAGTAATGCTCGGGCTGATTGGAACTGGTACCATAAGTATGACCTGGAAACCATGTGTCGAGTCATGTTCGAAAAACTTGCTTCACAACAAAAGTTGTCTACTAATGTCACTACTGGTGATCAGAAAATCGGTGCCATGTAAAAGCTATAGTAAATATACTCAACAAAATTGTACATAAGACTGTTTAGTTTTAAACTTTCCATTGTAAATAACTGATATTTATTAACATGTTATTAATATTGCTAATCTGGACAAATAAAAGACATTAAATAGGGAACAAAGACAAAAAAAAGAGAGTTGTTTACACTCAATATTTATTTATTTCTCTTTATGAGTCCATTTTTTATGCAAGTAATACAATGATTATGGTTTACATGTAATGGTCATGTATTATTTAAATATATGTATCATTTAAACAGGCATTATGTAAGAGCTAAATCTGCCTATTGCAGGTCTTTCTTTGGGCCTTAAATGTTATGTAAATGATCAATTAGACATTTATTAACACGACAAGAACATCATCAACTCTCGATGCCATCGGATGGGTCTGATTTTAAGTAGATTAGAACAGTTCAGCCATTTAATTTAATTTAAAAATGGAGTAACAAGGCTAAGACTCGAATGACCAGTACGGTTGTTACGATCAATGCACACATTTAGTCAAAACTACAACTATTGACAACTTCGCACAAAATAGAGTAATTTGATTGAAATTTTCAATGTATTCATTTTGCATTATCTATTTTTGAAATGGTATGAGAACGACCAGCTCTTTATTTAAATCCTACATAATGCCCCTTTAGATATAATGATTATATATCATTTAAATATAATAGTTATATAATTATAACCGTTGTGTATCATTTAATAATAATTATATATCATTTTGTTTTTATAATTATTTAATTGTTTTTTTGTTCATCATTCAACATCACTCGACCGATTTTATTAAATCTCAAAAAAACTAGAACAAATCTTTTTATTATTATAACATATTTTTTTTAAATGCACTATTTATATAGATCTATTGATATTCTGTAATTTGTTATTTAAATTTGTACAGATTTTTATTTTATTGATGTATGTATTTTATTTATCTTCCTATTACAGTATAGAAGAATCTCATCAGTGTTTACATGACAACGAATTGTGATATTAATTTTAATAAAACCAACGTAATATTTTCACATTAAAAGACTATAAATTTAAAATTACTCCATTTCCATTTTTAAAAATATACATATCAGAATAGTGCTCATTATTTTGCATAATACATGTAGATCTGTTCAACTTATGCATTTTTTTTCTTTATGCATAAGGTTTTATTTTGCATGTGTGTATATATAAGCGATATATCTGAAATAGAATCTCACTGCTTTTATTGTTTGCTATGTACTATTTTCTTGTCATTATTCATTTTCTATACAATGTTTTTGTTTCTATTTGTACTTTTTAAAGGTACAAACATCTCCATGATCAAAATGCTAATATATAAAGGGATATTAATATTCAGGAATATTATATATAATTCTCAGTAATGCCGTAAATACCTGCAACAATGGGCTTATTTAATGATTTTTACAGGGACCAGGTCCAATTTAAAATCAAATATGTTAGAAAAAATCAACTGACAGTTTTTGTCATTAATATTTGTGATCTGAATGTTTTTTAACTATTAGATTAAAAAAGAAATATTGTTAATATTTGGAGGTTGTTATGTTGTTTTAAAACATAAAACATCATTTTTGAAGTGTAACATTGTTAATACCGGTTGACACAAAAAAAACGTTCATCAATAAAAATCGATTTTCTTTAGATTAACACAAAAATTCAGCTACATTAGGTTAAGTCTATGTAGCAGACATCTCCAAAGTTTCAAGTCTGTACCACAAAAACTCTGTTTAACTGGCGCTCCAAAATGTGCTCTAAATGAGCTCCCCGGTGTTGCAAGCACATTTGGATCCGGCGGGCAAAGTTCTCGATGACCCTCCCACATTCTTCCCTTGGGATTGCTTTTATTGCTGCTGTGATTGCTGCCTTCAGATCAGGGATAGTCTGGGGGTTGTTGCCATACACCCTGTCCTTAAGATATTCGGTGAATGCGGCGACCACTCCGGGTCACACCTGCGGCTGATCAGTTGGTCAGGGAAACGCTGCTGTAGCCATGCCAATGCGTCGTTTGAGGTGTAGGGGTGGCACCATCCTGCTGGAACCACAGGAGGTCCCTGACGACCCCTCTTCGTCGACCAAGTGCTGTCCAGAATAGGTGATGAACGCTTTTTTTTGTGTCACCCGGTATAAGCCTTGGGTGGCATTCAGCAATTAGGCACAATAAAAAACACGACATAACTAATATGGAAAACTATTGTGTGTAAAACAAAGTACAAACCAGTGATTGTTTTCCATATAAATTGTGTTTTTTTTAATATTGTTAACATTTGTTTTTATAAATAAAACAGTTAAAATCATATACATGTGTAGTTATTATATGTATTTTAAAGAAAGTGTGGTATATTATGTTAAGTTGAATAATAAACAATACCATAATACTGCATGTCAACATCACAGCACAGCTAAACCAAAGTGTCATCTGTGACTTCTTCAAAATACTAAAAAAACAAAACAATGAAATGAATTGGGGTTTATTGTCCTATTGTTATGCTCTGATAATATATTGTTCTATCAGGAAAATTTTACCCAGACAGCAGTGCTACAGCCTACACTTACAATGATTTCTATAACTGCCAAGGTTTCTTTTACGTGCACGCCAATGTGTACTCATCCCATCCAAACGACTATATATTCCCCTTGCCAAGTCCTCCGTCCGGCACCACTGACACGTGTGAAACATGCCAGAAAATTCCAATGACGCAATGAATTTTCTAGGCCAACACCAGGATCGAACACGGCACCTCCAGGTTAGCGAGCCCACCTCTTAAACCAGTACTGAATGTCAAGATAAATATAAAACTGACAGCCTCGTGAATCTGTCACAGGCCATATTCCTCACAGATAAGTGAGTGGAATGGGATAAATACAAAAATATCGGCTTCATGAATCTGTCACAGTTCCTCACAAATTTAAAATTAATATCATCCGATGTTAGGGATAGACTGAGCACATTCCCAACTCGTGCATAAGTTATTAGATCATATTTACCTTATATGGTTATTTTGGCGACTTTATTGTCCAAGAGACAGTTATATACGATCTATATGGTTATAGAGTATGAGGAGCATTGGAGGAAAATATAAGGGAGGTAATTCTAATTAGACTGTTGTAAACATCGAACAGACATAAATAACGACGATATTATACGAAAATCTGGTTACAGCGCACTCACTATTCCTGGTAGGTACACCCCCCAAAATACTCCACCCTAATAATTGGAGTCAATTGCATTTACAAAGTTCCGCCATGATCTTTGTATGGATCCCATATTTGAGTTTGCATTTAGGCTATAAATAACACCCTTCGATATCTTATCACGTACGTTTGGTGTGCGGTCGTACGCGGTGGCACATTTTATTGACGAATAGTGTAACAGTTGTGATCAGAATGAGATTTTTTTTATTGACATACAGCAGTTTGAAGCGTGATTTCAGCTCGACTATTTGAAAGTTTAGATATTCACTCGTCAGAACTACAGGCTGTCAAGAATAAATCTGTACACACGAAATAGTAAATAGTTAACAGGTGGAATTTTAATGAGTTTTATGCATGACCAATAGAACAAAAATTAATTACACACACGACTTGTGCATGATTAATTGTCTTATTCAGCCTGTAAATAATCTTTTGAATTATTAATTTTTCGTTGACGACAAAATATATAGACAATACGGCCTGATCAAAGAGTTATTGGGATTTAGAAAAAAAACGTGTAAATGGGCGTATGAATGGAATAAAGCTGGTTAACACTTCCCAATCCCATCCGACGCAGTTTATGTGTTCACGCCTATAGAGTTTTGCTCTGACTCAAGAAGGTTGATTAAAAATAGCATACGCAACGTCTATAAAAATCGTCGCCCAACATGAAAAACTACAATCATATGTACACTATAAACTGTCTGCGATATTATTAGCTGTGGGTGTAGCGGTTTAAACCACCAGGCACCGTACTACTGTGTTATAAGCGTTCTTTCCTAATCAATTTTCGACATTGGCCAATATTTTTAGGCTATAACATTAAATGGTTATCTTATTTCATATATATATTGCACACTGTGCGGTGTGAATTTCGTCTGGGCAACGGCCAATCTGTTTCACAGAGTATTACGAAAGTCTTCCTCATTGCTGATCACTGTGGGCAACGGCATCTCTCCATATCATTTTTACGTAATAACTGTAACTTTGTGGTAGAAAGAGTTTACCGGGTTAAAAGTGGTTATGATTCTTAATATTGGTACTAACATAACCGGCTAGATAAAATTTATTTATATTATAAACAAACGAAAATCTACGAATAATGTTTATTGACCTTTAAAATCTATTGTAATGCGAAAAGTTGCTTCCCTTTGACTCACGATTTTCTGTCTTTCATCCCAACCGTATGACTTAATGAATTCATTATAGCTGCCAAATGTAGAAGATAAACACGTGTCTATTGTTTGTTCATTTAGGAGAGTGTAATGTATTAGTGAGGGTGTAGAATAGATGTAGGTACTGTAAATAAAGTGTATGTAAAGAAAACATTCTTACGTCAAGATGTACACTGTCAACAATAGTACAGTTAGTATCTCCATGTTAACAAACAAACCCGTTGCCTTTATATGCGCGCCTACTGACTTGCCTAATTTAACTATACCGCACACGTACCAAAGCAATAACATTTTAAAGCTGATCCCTTTTTTTAACTTAATAACTTAATACATTTTTCTGAGTCTAATATTATCTCGGCACATTTAAATAAGCCACCATGAAGCATAAACATAAATACGGGTGTTAAAAGTGGGGGGAAAATACACTTTCAATCTAAGATGACGGTATTATAAAAAAACAAATATTTCAAATTTCTCGCCCACCCCCAGCACCACACCACCACACACACACACAAAAAGAAAGAAAAAAAGATCATTAATCAACGACGATATTCTTTGAAATTTTATTTATTTATTGTGTAAGAGGGGAGGAGGTATTTGTTGGCTCAAGATCTCATTTCGGTTTTCTATCAGATGTGATTAAAAGGTTAAATAAAGTTTGAATTGAGAAGGTACCGATTAAACTCGCGACGTTGGAATTGACCAGATCAAAGCAGCATCGTTATGTTATTGTAAAACTGGCTATATAGCTGTAATATCACAGCATTGCATGCGCGGACTCTTTCACTTATCTGCTAGTTGAATCACTTTCCATTTCATATCTACACTATCTATATAACCACCTGTTTATAGAATTATCACCTGCAGGTTATATCTGATAATCTACGAACAACATACTTACACTCTATATTTACCTCGATATACAGTTCAATATACTTATATTTGGCACCTGATCACATTAACGCCTATAACTTGAACGTATTCCTACTGGCTATCTTGATACATCAAAATTAACCTATTAGAAATGAGTCCTTAAAATGAGACACTTTTTATGTACCTTGTGAAAGATCTGACTTTGATCACGTGTGTTTTGTTTTCTTTAGTTGCCACAATTACATACATGTAAGTCGGATCCCACAGTTTTTTTATTTTAATTTCTGTTAGATTTATGCTGACACTAAAATATTACTTGTTGAATACTTATTTAATAAAACAACCATCACTGTACTCGCGGTAAATTCTGATTTGTATTACACCTCAGTTTCAAAACAAATGCATAACCAGACCATAAGAGGGGTTAAAGGGCCAATCCCGATAATATTTTGGATAATAAAACTGGTTAATTTTGTGTTAAAATCCTTTAAAAACCTCAACCTTAGGGCCGACCAACTAGCTTAGTATATTTGATACGTTTTCAAACAACTTAAATCCGTCAGTCTTAATCTGGAAGTGGGGACCGGTGCCCCAAGCTGTATTATGCGGTGTCTCGATAAAACCAGACTTTTATTTTATAAAAATAATGTGTAGGTGAAATTTACCTTTTGTTATCAAGTTTAGCACATGGGTCATTCACTGTATAAACCTCTAAAGGAAGGGGAGTCGCTTATCAGGTCACCCAACGAAAGAATAGACTCAAAATCTTAAAAGGGTTACGTGTCCGGATAAACAGTTTTGACGTTCATGTCCAAGTGACTCAATATTTTGAGCTGGAATTTTGAGGCAGGGTAAATACACCATTCCTCTATATTTTGGCGCTTAAATTTCATACGTACCCGGACTTTTATTTTTGAGACTCTGTTCAATTCGGGATAGTCCCTTTAAAGAAGCATTATGTAAAATTTGGATAAAGAACTGGTCGTTCTTGCTATATTAAATTAAATGCAGAAAATGAAAAATGGCTTAATTGAAAATTTCTCTGAAATTATTTTATTGAAGTTTTGACAAGAAATAGCGTTAAAAGGAATCGAGTTTCCTGTTTTTAAAGAAGTTATGTTTGACATTGTCTAATCCATTCAATATTGTCTCTTATTCAATTTCAATAATGGCTATAGCTAATTTTCTACGAATCATAACAAATAATATTGACATTAATATATATAAACCAAACAAAATTGTACACCTACAACACAAACATGTTATTTACCTACGAACAACCTAAGTTTTCCATTAATCCGACTTCCGAATAGTTCAACAGTGTTGATATTTGGTTTAAGAGATCTCCAATGTATTGGTCTTCGGATCAGTAGATTTTCGAATACTAATATGTCACCCATGTATGCCAAAACCAAAGAATTTCATACGTCATGTCATACATCGCAATGATAAGTCGTGATAATTATAGAGTGAGGATTGGGTTGTGGGTGGGGTGGAGTAGGGAGGGGGACCCCAGATGGTGTGCATTAAGGTTCTGTGACATCAATGTTTTGAATCCCCGATTTGATTTTAGTCAATAACGAATAGTTTGTTCGTTTAACCATGGTCTACTTCCTCACCAATTTTACAGATTGCGTTTTCCAAATATTGAAGTTTCCTCCGGATAAAGAAGAGCTCGTTTTAGGCAAACATACCTCTTGACAAGCATGGATATAAGGATTTCTACTATAGCGAGTTCACGGTGTGTAACAAATGTAGTAAATTGTCGAGCTGAGCATGTGATGTCATCGGCAGATCTGTATGGTGTGACCCGTTCCAGAGGGCCCTCTGTTCCCGTAAAGAGGGTCCATATAATGAATAAATGCTTCTTTTTCACTTCGTAATTCAAACATACGATAATTATGAATTGATTATAAGTATTGTTACATTCACACGCCATGATAATATATATATATATATATATGTCCCTAAGTCGCTGAATCCTTGCTAGAAATGTCGGCGTAGACAATGGCAAGAGGTAACGAATAGTCGTTTGGATGCTAACAGAAGCTGAGGT